GATTTCTATTTGAGACCGAGTATTTCAGGAATTATGCACAAACTTTCATGATTATCATGTGAAACAATCGATGTTGGAAACTTTATAATATTTTTAATTACATTTATAAGGATATATTGTATTAAATTAATGATAAATTTAGATTATATAATAACGTAAATTATTGCGTTAATGCACCAATAAATTTACTAAAAGTTAAAACTCAGTTTTTTGTATTATATTTTATATGACGTATTTTTTTAGAATAAATTTTGATAATTTTTTCTATTTGATCATATATATATATTATATATATTCTATGTAATAAATATGAGTGCCATATGAGCTACCTATAAGAGATATTGCAATCTTTACGAATCGAATATTAAATTCATTGTTAAATTTACGTATACTTGTTTATTTAAATTTACGTATACTTGTTTATCTAAATAAGGGAATACTCTAAAACTCGATAACGAAAGGCGATCATCAAAAAGTCATGTCAGATAAGCATTGATACGATCACGCTATTCTTTTCATATTTCTTGTACTCCTAAATATATGGATGCTTTCTCTTCACTAGATCGATATAGTCACTAAAAATTTTCGACCAGCCGTATTTGTTTTTAACGCGTTTCTCATGACTGTTGATTAATCCAGAAAGCGGGAACGTGTTCAACTCAAAAGTGACATCTTGACAACTTGACGTTTCAGTAAAGAGTATACGTCAGTAAAAAGGGTTATCCGCTCACATGTGACGCTTAATTAGTAGAGTAAAAAAGAGAGGTAAGCAAGAGATTATATAATTAATCTTGTAAAGATACATAATTGCAATTAGTTACATAACACGATTTTTATTACGCGTCATATGGAAGCTAATAGTTCTTTTACAAACGTATGTGAAACGTCAAGTTGTCGAAATGTCACTTTGACTGTAGATACATTCCCGCTTGCTAGATTAATCAACAGTTTAATTACGCGGAAATGCGTAGCTAGAAACGAATGCATTTGGATGGAAATTCTCGAGATCGAAAGTTACATAATTTTCGGCTTTATGTGTATACACAAATAAGATTAAACCATTATATTTAAAGTCATTATAACACTATTATATTATAATTATAATTATTTATGCGATTTTCAATCTTCTATGCGATCTTAAGCGTAAATACATAAAGCTGAAAATCGTATAACTCTCGATCTAGTAAATATTCGGGCATGTCGTCGTATATATTACAAAACTTTTATATCAAGCAGATATTTATGTTAAGGCATTAAAGTAACAGCTCGAGATATCAACACGTTCTTTATCATTATTTATTTGGGGAATTCTCTCTATATAGAGAGAATTATACTCTATATATACAGATCACATTATATTTGTTTTCATGTAATTGTGTAAAACAGACTTGGTTTGTTTATATGTGAAAAGAAAAACATTGTTGTCATATACAGGGTGTCCCACACTCTCCTTCTCACATTAAGCGAAAATGTAGAATGGGTTGAGGTGAACATAAAAGTCCTATACCGTTTTGCGATATTCGCAATAATAGTCGAGATATTAATTAAAAAAAAAATGGTGAATGATCACGCGCGATATGGTAGATGAGTTGTAGTGGCACCGTCTGCCGTTGTATACTTATACATTAAGTCAAACTGAACAAAAAAGTCCTCTATTATTTTGCAAATGACCATATAGATTTTTAGATATTAATTAAAGAAAATTTGTACATTAAAGTTTTTCAGTAAAGATCATTTGAAATTTAACATATTGTATATATTGTATATGAGATTTTACACAATTCGCAATTCGATTTAATTAATTTTTTATACTATTTTCTTATAGGATTTTCTTATTTAAGTAATACATTTGTCTATAAAAATTCTCCAGTAAAATTGTCTAGTAAAATAAACTATTTTTCTTTTATTACGAAATTTTTCTTTAATCAAGCAAAAGATATGATAAAAATTGATATAATACATTTTATTTCTTAGAGACATACTTCAAGCGAAATTCAGCAGAACATCACTAGTTTCTACATTTAAAATCAGGTAAATCATGCCTGAATGTATAGAGAAAATAAATTTTCTTAAAAATTAAACACCACATTACTGAAATCTTATGAAAACCTGGGTGATAAAAAAACCTATATACATTTGTTAACTCAACTATTTGGTATACTCTGATAATATTTCTATAATGTGTCTTGTATAGTATATTATTTTTCCAATATTCTCAGTATACGAAATTCATCAATAATATTCGGTCTATTTATCGAATATTTGGAAATATCGGGATACTATCGGAATACATTAAAATTATCAGCAATTCTATTTATTTATCGAATAAACAGAATATATCGAAATTTTTGGAATAAATGAAGCCTATTATATAGTCCATATATATGGAACCTAAAAGAAAAAAGGATATAGAAAACTTTTCGAAACAATTGTAGCTACTCTGAATCACATCTTAATGAATTATAAAGGAGATTCACGATTTTTCTGTTGTCTCAATTTACGACATTCGATAATTCAACAAAAGGATTTGCTTTCAAGGAAGCTATAACGAGCGACATTTTTGTTTTTATGACGCCTGTGGACAAGAAGCGGAAACGCTTGCCGCGCGGCAGGAAGCGACACGGTAACCAATCAACTTATCGCTTTTCTGTTAAAGCAACATTTTAAGCGGCCATCGCATTGCTTCTTGTCGCGTGCAAGCGTTTCCGCGTTCTATGTACGAAGCCATTTCATAACTGCCATACCGCGAAGCAGCATGGTCCGTGTTTGCACATATGGCCGTGTAATTTACAAGGATTTTCGTGTACAAAGATAGTAAAATATAAGATAATAATTATAATTATCTCAATTAAGATAGTAGCTATAATAAACTATTATGCATGAGCAGATTTTATGCATATCTATTAATTATTATTTTATCAAGCCGAGAGAATCCGTGGTATTCGGCGTTAGCTAAGCCATACGTAATTTCTGATCTGAAGTAATATTCTTATCTCTTTTGAATAAAGTTTTTCAAGTATTTTTAAAGATAAGTATGCCGATTAACAAGCCTTTTTCAAACGACCTTGACGAATATTATTAAGGAATAATATACAAAAAAAGTTTCAGTCGTTGGATTGAAGTTTCGTCTATTATCAAATTATTAATAAAAGAAACTTAAAAAACGTAACAGCTTAACCTCTCTAACCTATGTCACATTGACTATTTATTTATCTTTATCATAATTTATATTTTTCATCGGATATAATAGTGTTATAATTATAAAAAATGAATCGATTCGATCAATGTAATAATAGAGACACTTAAAAAAAAACTTTGCTAAATAGCGAGTGTAACGTTTTCCATAGCGAGGTATCACGCTTTCCGCATGTCACGCTACAACCTCTTAATATTTTGAGTATAGACGCCTGTCACTTGAGCTATGAGTTTTCGAAATAATTAATCATTATGTAGTGATAACCTTCGTTCTTTAAATGTATATATCTGCTCTTATAGTGGCTATAAATAATTGTTTTTGGAGCAAGTTTTTGACGTATTATTATTAAAGTTGATGCAGTACGATCGTGTATTAGAACAATAAAAATTCGTTTAATTCCACATTCGAACCCACCAAACATCTATTGTTTTCGAATAATTCATCTACGATTATATTTTTGTTTTTTGATCATTAATTCCTATAATTTTTCCGGGATCACTAAGTATACTATCGTTGTGATTAAACCACATTGAATTAGTGAGAAGAAAAACATATGATGTAATTATTTAGTTTAAGAGAAGTTGCTCGAATAATTTTAATCTTAACATATGCCAAGGTCATGATCCACAATAACCTACGAAAAGTTTTAGTTTTCGCTAAAAGTAAACATATAAATAGTTTATGTAAACACAGTGCACTTGTGTAGTGAATATATGCGGAGAAGATGATCAATATACACTAAGTGCTTGAAATATATATTCTATTTATGAAACTTTTTTATCAATAATTTTGTAAATAAAAAAAATTTGAAACTTTTTGTATGTTATATAGCATAGTGTTTTTAAAATATATTATGTGTTAAGGTCAAGGATGTTGGAGAAGGACTCGTTAATCGGAATAATTTTTTGGAAACTTTTTAAATATATTTTCAATGCAAATATATTAATTTATAGTAATCAAACGATGTTAATTTCTATCTTTTAGTTTTTTTATGCAATGTTTATAAATGTATGAAGTTATTTTCAAAGTTTATTGTTTTTTTATAAATTTATAAATTTATAAATTTATTTAAAATTTGAAAATGTTTATACATTGTATATTTTATGTATAGTATATATATAATATATATAATAATTTATACACACACACACATATATATATATATATATATATATATATATATATATCACAAATAATATATATTTTATAAAAATATAAAAATGAGTAATATAATATATGGTATTATATATTTAGATATATGTGAAATGTATATAAAAACGAAAGAGAAATTTGTGTGCCATAAAGTGTAGATACTTTATATAAAAATAAATAAGAAGTGTAGAATCATATTCTTTGTCT